TACAAGTAAATTGAAATTTGAAATATGAGGGAATATTAATTTCCATTTAATGTAATTTAAAAATAATTTTAAAACGCTCTTTTATTTTAATAAGAATTAAATGAAATTTCGAATTAAAAAAATAAAATCAATTGAAATTAATTTTTAAATGAAGTAACAGCTGCAGAAATAAAAAATAAATTAATTTTAAATTGTTTCCTCTTTCAATAATTCTGATAATTTTTTTGCTGATTGTTAGAGGAATAAGGCAATTTAATACTAAATAATGTGCAATTAAATAACATATGTACATACCTACATTTTATTAAAATTTAAAATGATTAGAAAACCAATTGTTTTGGAATTACATTGGCTGGCTTAAATTTTTGTCTAAAATTTACATGAACACTTTGTCTTATTTTTGAATTTTAGTTGTTTTTAAGTCAGATGAATAGAAAAAATGAAAATCGTTTTGCAATAATCTTTATAAATTGCATAATTCTAAATTTTAATTAAAATTTCTATGTATGAAATAAAATATTGTCATTACAAGTTGTAAGAAAACTTTATTTTATTCATGTTTAATTTAAATATTAATTAATATTATCAATAATGAATAGCAAAAATAAGGTCCTAAATGAAAAAATTCTTAATTTACGCTTAATCGCGCTTAATCTTTGATAAAATTGTGGAAATTAACTACAAAGATCTCAATCAATTTTAAAGAAAATGAAATATTTCATATTCATTGTATTCGAGGCTATGTAAAAATTTGGCTGAATTAGGTGTTTCCAAATTATGGAGCTTCAATTAAAATGAGAATTTTCCTTAACAAATTTAATTGAATTTGTGAAAACATATTATAGAATTTTGATATACAGATAAGATCATTTAAAAACTGTTAAATAAAATTTGATAACATGTTTTCTAAACCGATCAAAATTTAATTAATTAAAAATATTGGCCAGAAGTCTATGAAATAAACTACTTTTGTCAGTGAAAATTTAAACAGTATCACACAAATGAGAAGAATTGTTTTTTACACACGTAATAAATCTTTAAATATTAATCTAAATATTGAAGTAATTAATGAATCGATCAATTTTGTCAATTAATCTAAATTTGAAGACTCATCAAATAACTTCAAATTGTTTATATCAAAGGAACAGATTAATTAACATTTATTTACAAACATACTTGTATTTAAAAATAAAATTTTCAATTAAAAATTAATTTAAAAAATTTCAAATTTATTAAATTTTTTTATTATTTTAAATTTACATTCAAATTAAAATAAATTTATTATAGAAAAATATTTTAATTTAATTAATAAAATTAATATTTTCATTAAAAATTGATTTATTTATAAATGTGTTGTGTTTTTATGTCGGTAAATATTAGGAGAACAATTAGTGAAATTAATAAAAATTTAATTAAATTAAATAAAATTTTCTAATAGAAAACAAAGCAACTATTTCCATTGCTAGTTAGCTAACAATTAAATAAATAAGCAAAAGCTAGCGTTAAAAAGCAAACGTGATTTTTTTTTTTTTGTTTAAAAAAGTTTTCTTTCATTTGGCTTTATTTTTTGTTGCTGATTTTTATTTATTTAAAAAAAAAACGCAACCCGTCGAAATAATCGTTGTTGCTGTGCGCAAATAAATGCTTAAAAATTAATGAATCATGATATTCACGTTTTTTTGTCCCCCACCACCACTACTAGTACGACCCTTTCTTATTGTATAATGAAATTTTTGTTTTTGTACTTTTATTTTCATTGAAAACGCTTGAGAATGACGAAATTTATGCTGTTATTGATTCAAAAAGCAAAAAAACACAACAAAAAACGTTTTATTTCTAATGCTTTTTTATGACGCAAACAGGAAAGCTACAAAAAAAAGCTCCCCCTTTATTATATTAATATAATAAATAAATGAATAATTGTCGAATAAGGAGGGAGTAGAAGAGAAGTGAAAGAGGTGAATTAATGAAATATTTATCAATTTTTATGTGAATCGTTAAAAAGGTGTCTAATAATAGCAAACAAAAACGGTGTGTTTTTTGATTTTCATTTACTTTTTGTTAATATAAGCATAGAATAAAAGGAGGAGGAAGCGGGGAGGGGGGAAGCTAGAGAATAATAATTCTGAAAATTCTTTGGGGTGGTCAAAATACAAAGAATTTATATTTCAAATTATTCAATCAAATTAATCTCAATAATTTCAATTAAAAATGTAATTTTTGTTTTTTTCTTATTTTTGGTTTCAAATAATTGATTTTTTTCTTTCAATACAAAATTAATTTTTGCATAATATTTTGTGTTAACAAATATTAAAACAATATTTTGTATAATTATTTAAAATATTTAATAATAAATTCTATCAAAATATTTATAATATGCAATCAAGACATATAGAAAATGAGGAAATAGATAATTGGCATGAGGAAATGATGAATCTTATATAATATACACACTTAAGTACATTTATATTTATTTTCTATTAAAAATGTATAATATTTCTCGGAAGTAAAACAAATTTTAGTTATTATTACTAAAGTTTTGTTGAATTTACTATTATAATTTAAAAGAGAGAATATAAAAAAGTAAAAACATGAAAAAAAAAAAATCATTTACTTATTAAAAAAGGTAAAAATGTTAAATTATTCGATATTTTATTTCATGTAGATCTTTATAATATCAAAGATTATTAAAATGGAATTAAATTTTTTTTTGTAAATGATTAGTTTATAAACGAATCATCATAAATTTTCCAGTTAATAATGAATTATGGAATTAATTAAAAAAATGAAAATAATAGTCACATTATAAATGCATTAAGAAGATCTTATAAAAAAGACCGCTAACAAGAAATAAAAATAAAAAAGCAATGGTTGGATTTACTTAATTATTAAAAAATAAATAAAAATAAAATTGTCGTAACAGAATGAAATTAATAAAGGGATTTTCCTTCTATAAAGGCTCTTATTTCTATTTCGTGAATGACGACAGTAATTGCTGTGTTTAAGTAGCAATTATCAGTACAAAATTAACACAAATGAAACGCTGACTGCTTCTATCAAGACTAGCTTCTTATAAAGAATTATTATTGTAAATAATTAAATTTATAAAGTTTCAAAATCATCAGACTTTCTTATGTTTGACTATTCCAAAATTTCGAAAATTTAAGTTGAATTTGGAATTTCGAGCAGAGTATTCAAAAAAAAAAAATAATTTCTTCATAAAATTGTATCATGTAAATTATTATGTTCCGCGAATGTTGTCCGTAAATTGAATCATTTTCCTTACATTACGTTACAGCCGCATAATTTTTTAGCTAAACTTATTACAGGTACATATGTTTCTTGTTAATTTGCAAAAAATATAGTAGAATTTTATTATTATTACAACATTAGACAACAAAAATCATTTTTGCATTTTAAAAATTTTCCGTAAATCGAAGATTTTTTCCGTAAAAAGAGACTTATTTTTGAATTCCGTAAAACCGAAATCCCGTATATCGCGGTTCCGTTAAGTGAGGAATGAGCGTATAGTAAATCTATGAAAATCGATTGTAAGAGTTAATAAATTTTTTGTGTTTCTTCACTGAAGCTAAAGAAATGAAACTATTTATACAAGTAAATTGTGGGTGTGTACATATATGTATGATCTGCCTATAACATCTTTTGATAATAGTGTGTGTGCGTATATTTAAAATTTTGTTTAGATTTTTCAATAGAAAATAGAATAAGCAAGCTCAAATAATAAATATAATTTTGGGGAATACCATGATTTAGGATTTCAAAAATGGTAAAAGAAATTTTAGTTCGTAGACATTCGTAGACATAAGAAAAGAACGGAATTTACCGTTAAAGCTTGGTAATTTTCTAATTCTATTATAAAATTTAATGAATACTCTTTAGAATCGATAACAAATACTGAATAACAATAAAAATATTTGATTTAGAAACCTAAAATAATTTATATTACTCAATATTTTTAAGTAAATCGAAAAAAATTTGTTTGAAACAAATAATTTATGAATTTCATGCAATCATAAAATCAATAAAAAGTGTGAATAAGGCAGAAAAAGGACAATTTTCCTAATGTTTCTTTAAACTGGACCCAAATATGTGACTTCATGTCTTTTTAGGATTGCGTTCTATTAACTAACCTAAGGAAATATGTACATATTATCGGGGATCCCTTTCTATATACATCAATCGCAATTGCAAACTATTGCAATACCAGTAATCATCATTGAATTACCGCTAATTATGTATACAGGTACGTTGTAAAGATAATAAGGTCTCTGCTTTCTAAAAAATCACAAACTTATTTTATCGTCCTAAAAACTCCTATTTAAAAAATTGAAATGGTTTAACATACTTTTTAACCAAAAATTATTTATTGCACTCTTATTTGAATACTAGATTATGTACGTAATTCCTTGAACTTTTTCAAATGAACATGAATGATGCAATTTCTTTTCCAAACGCTTTAATTATAAAATTAATATTTATTTTTTTAGTTCAATATCGAAATATCATGAAAATATTTTTGCATAATTTAAGATATTTGTGAAAGTGTTTATATGATTGAAAGTGTTATTGACTGAATTAATATAATATTCCTACAAGTTTTTTTCTAAGGATTGTAACAATGTCCACCAAAAAAATTCTACATTTTGAAATGTGGGTATTCAATTAAATTTTGTTATAAAAATGATGTAATTTTATAAAACACAAAAAAATTGGTATTTTAATAAAAATATAGAGCATTGCTTTCTTAAATGTTGCTATGATTGCAATTCTGCGACATTCATATTATATGTATGAAATTTGTAAAAACAAAGAAATAATTATATATTAAAAATATTGTTTTTTAGCAGACAAAACAAGTTCTCTAATCAGTGCTTTACAAGTATGTATATAATTTTTTTCCAATGTAAATAACGAAGATGAAACAATTTTGCAAAATTTATTTTGTTGTTCCTAATAATCAAGAAAATTAAATAACTTACCAGCAACAACTGCATCATTTTTAATAGTTCTTCTTACAATCATAATTGCATCATGAAGAGAACGTTCAGTTTCTTCTAAAAATTGTTCGGCACCACCACGTAAAACAATTGTACATGTTCTAGCATTTGGGCAACCTTGGAATATATTAAAACGTTCTCCACCAATTTGTTTCTCTTCAAATATTTCACTATTTCCAAGGACACTTTCATTAATACCATGTACTGTTGTTATTACCGCACCGCCACACGCTTTCATTGTACGTTTCATATCTTCTTCTGGTACCCGACCAGCACAAAACATATTACGATCAGCAAAATATTGTGTAGCAACATCACCAATTGGTAATTTTGATAAAACAACATTTGCTCCAGATTCATGAATTTTTTGTAATTTATCATATAAAATTTTCCATTCGGCATCAACAACTTTTTGATATTCTTTAACATTATCAACGCGAATTTCTGCATTATCTCTTTCAGCTTTTAATTCTAATTCAATATTGAGTAAAGCAATTTTACAATTTTTATAGCTTTTAGGTGCCATTTCAAAACCAGCATAAGAAAATGTTTTTTTGAATGCTACTCCCGATACAAGAATTGAATCTTCTAATGCACCACCACTTACTTTTTTGATACCGATCATATTAAGTGGTAGTAAATCATCTAATGAAAGAACAGCCTCAACAACCATTTTTGAAAAGAAATCTTTTTGTTGATGAATCAATTTTGAATTCATAGCTGTTGCTGCACATTTTTCCAATAAATTACGTTGATTTGGATCTTTATCTAGTTTATTAAGCTGATTAATTGATGTTTTCTTAAGTTGATTAATTTCTTGTATACACAATGTTAATGATTTTCGAATTGCTTTAATAACAATTCTTGGATGAACTCCTTCTTCAATAAATGGTTTAACTTGCTTCAAAAATTCCCCAGCTAATAAAACTACGGAAGTTGTACCATCTCCAACCTTAAAATTATTGTAAGAAATATTATCCGATATAAAATAACAAAGAAATAATTGCTATAAAATTACTTCTGCATCTTGTGATCTTGCAATGTCTACTAATGTTTTTGCAGCAGGATGAACAATATCTAATAATTTTAGAATAGTTGCTCCATCATTTGAAATAGTGGCTTTACCATGACCATCAACAATTAATTTGTCCATACCACGAGGACCTAAAGTTGTGCGAACAGCATCAACTACAGCTTGACATGCTGTAATATTAGACAATAATTGTGGAGTTCCTTGAGAAACATCAGTGCCTTCTTTTAATAATACTATTTGAGGTTGCTGTAAAGTAATTTTTTTTAAATAAATAATTTTTACTATCAGCTAAAAATTATATAGTTTTGCAAGAGAAATCCAGCTGACTCATTTGCTACTAGACAAAACGAGAAAATTCCATTTGGGGGGAGAAAAAAATAATTGTTTGGAATATTTTAGGTTAGAATTGATCGCCGACTTCAGAATAAATCATATTTTTTTTTGCTAACCGAATTCTAATTTGTATTTGTTGAAATTGATTAAAATAATTTTAAAGTTTACAAAATCAAATGCAAAATATATTTCCAATTAATTTATGGACTTTTATTTTAAAACTTAACCAATGATTCACAGATTTCTCGTTTATTGCCATATTTTCAATAATTTCGAATTAAATTATTAAATTTTGAGTGTATGAGAAATTTAACATCTTCACTTACCATTTTTTATTGATGTTTTTCTATAAAAAATTATTTTAATTTAATAATATATTAAATAAGACACAGAAGTTTACTTTTTTGGAAAATTTTAATTTTCACGAGGACGAGATGAATAAAATTTGACGTTTATGAAGTAATTTTTGAATTGTCAAAAGGGTTGTGTGGCAGAATAAACAAGTATAATCGATAGTTGTGAATATTTTTTTCTCATTGCAGCGCTATCTGTTGGAAATGAATTTCTTGACACATAACTGATTGGGAATTAGTACTCAAAAAATTGCCATCTAGGAGGGAATAGAAAAAAAATGTTTTGAATTATTCTTATATTTGCCATCTGTGAATTAGAATTAATATTAGTAAAAGTAATTATAGTAGACTTAGTAAAAAATGTTTGATTCAATGTAAAAATTGGATGTATCATTCGCTTCATATTAGTTTCATACAATTTGGGAATAATTTTAATTATATTTTTGTATGAACCCTAAAAAATACTTAAAGAACGTATTCTAAAATTATTATTTTAGTTTATGGGTTTTATAAGAAATTTTAGTTTTAACTTTCGCCTAATTTTATGCAAAGAAAATTGTATGTTTTTTTTCACTGAAAACTAGAAAGAAAAATTTGGTTTCAGGAATTCGTCTGATAATCAATGAACCATTGTGAAGCTGCAAAGCCATTCTTTAAAATTTGATTCACAAATTCTTGAAGAAATTACATCTTTTTTTTTGTAAGAAAATCAAAATATTTATGAATTTTTAATGCGTCTACAGGAGGTTATAAATTGAGTTTTAAACCCTGGTCTGTTTACAAAGAAATTTTATTTCTTCTTCTATGGTTTGGGAAATCTCTTGAGTATTTAATCAATCAGGAAAATATTTTTCGTCTTAACTAAATGACCTACATCAAAATCAATAAAAATCTCGGTAGTTTTCTTATTTGTATGTGTACATAAATGGTGCACATACAAAGTACACTACAAGTTTAAGAATCTTTTCATGTTATGCCCATATAGCAATGCTTTAAATATTTTTTTTTTTAAGTTTATTGCTAGGAAAGTCTAGAAATTCTTTATTATTATTATTAGTATGTACCACATATCGTTTAAGAACTTATAAACAACTCTTTATTTTGACATTATAAGCTCAAAGCAATTTTAATTCTTATTTCGTTTCAATAAAATGTCATGAGTCTGTGGAATAAAATCCCAAATTAAATTTAGTCCAACTGTAATATTAAAAAGTTTTTCAAAAGTAAATGAGTTTTTATAAAATGAAAGTTTAAAATCTAAACAGAGAGAAAGCAGAGAATGCAAATATGGTAAATAAATTTTGGGAAATCTGAAAATCTTTTCCCGGCCGTTCATACTTTAGTTCACGTGTTATTCATACGTTCAGTTTGTTGGTAGGTAAATTATTTTTTATTAGAGAAAAATCTAATAAGTTTCTCACTTAATTCTTTCGATAAAATTTAAATTAATTTTTAATATTCAAGATCCGAATGTTGGGTAACACCTAAAACAAACTTTTAGTATGATCAAACTGTAACTAGGCTTTCTTAGTAGTTGAAATTGAATGAATTTTCAAAAATAAAACTCACAGCAATACATAATTGACCTAGCATGAATTTCTTCATCTTCTATTCATTAATGTGGTTATTTTTCAAGCAGACATTTTTCCTTATACGTGTCTGTTTGATTTTCATATATATACACATACATAAAATATAGTGCATCATACTTTTATTAATCAATAATCTTCTCATCTATCGCAACAAAGTATAATTGTCAGGCGGCGTAACTTCATAAATTTCCGTTTATTTTCATTCTATTTTTTTCCTTTTTTACTCGCATAATTCAACACTTCACTTTTTCTTTTGATCATCATAAAAATTAAATCAAAAAAATAAGAAGAAAAGCACAAGCCTCTTTATTAATTGAACGTTGAAATGGTTGTGTACAAGAATTGGTGTAGATTAGCCTATAATGTTTTCTGATTCTTTTCCAATATGTCTAATAAATTTTGTTGGGATTTGATGGTGATAACTACCAGTTTTACTACATTCTCTCAATTTAATAATAAAATTTATGATTTAATTCGTGTGGGATCTACATTTTTTTTTCTTTACTGAAATTTTTGAAAAAAATTTCTCTGAGAAGAACTGCTTCTATAAGGAAATTTTTAACTTAAATAATTTATTTTAGAACAGCCCAGCTAAACCATAAATTTTTTTCTATTTTCGTTGTCGTTGAACCAACAGGTTATGTAGACTTTAGTTGAACGTTTTTAATGCCATTAATTTAAATATTACAAAATAAAATTTCGTGCACAAGTTTGGGTATATGTTGCCGACAACTTAAGGTTTGCTTATTAAGATTGTGTGATTAAGGCTAAAAATTTCTGAGACTTCGTTCTGCTATAAACTTATGGCTTTAAAATATCTAAATGCTTGATTCTTTATTAAATAATTTGATCTTCTCATTGACCTTCATACCCTTCAGAATCTAGTCTCATTGAAATCTGAATTTTTTTATGATTTTTGTTACGTTATATATGTATATTAAATATTTTTTCCTAGCCAGTCATTTGTAGTCATAGTCATTTCACCAAGACGCATTTAGAACATTTCACAAATTAATTTTTAAAATCGATTCCTCATGGCAGTACAGAATTGAAATAATTAATTTTTTCTTCAAGTCGTTGACTTAGCACCTACCTCTGTTTAGAAAATTTTCTTATTCACATCTTAAAATAAAATTATTTGTCACAATAATTTAAAAAAAAAAAAAATATTTTTTTAAATTTTTATTGTATAATTGAAGGCTCAAATTTCTAACACGAATAACTTCTCTTATGCATATAGAGAAAACTAATTTAGCTTTTAGCATAATAGAAATGACAAGTTAAAATTTCTTTTAAAATTATAAGACTTATGAGTATAGTATGAAATTGAGTAACACTTAGCACAGGTATGGAAATGAAAATGATTGAAAAACAAGTGAATTTTAAAGATTTAAGGAGATTTTTTCCGGGTTGAACTCAACATTTAATTAACATTCATAATATATACGCATGAGCCATATAGATTAATATTAAGATTAAAAGAATTTATTAATAATAATTACTTAAAAAAATTATTTTATAAGAATTTCATTTAAGTTAGTAAATAATAAATTAGTTGTATAAATGTTTCTGGTTGCAAAATTGTCCTTATAACTTAATTTATATACGAAAAATATTATGGAAATTTCATTAAGAATTTTATGTGGTGAATTTGTAGTCAGATCATAATTGGTGGATCATAAATGCAAATGAGAATTTAATGTTTATCTGAAATTTTAGAAAAGATAACTTGAATAATTTATTAATAACAGTTTTTATAAGTTTATTCACAGCAGAATTGATTAAGTAATTGTTACGGATTAATTTATTTTTGTCCTCAAATATCTTTATAATATAGCGATAATTTTGTATGAAATAAAATTCACTCATCCACTTCCTCATCCACTTACAAGTATAGTTGAAATTACTATAATGAGAATTTGAATAATATTTCTCGTTTTCTCTAATTAAATGAATTTTTGAGAAAAATTATTTGATTACTCAAATTTCTGATATTTCTCAAATAATTGTATTCAATTAGTAGTGCATCATGGTAATTATTAGGCTAGTAAATGGCAATAATATGATAATAGCATTTTATGATAATATTTGTATGAAGCGATAAAAAGAGTAATATAATCAGTACCTAGACAGTATTTCCACTCATTAATCTATTACAATATTTTTCTAATGTAAATTAACGTCATTAAGAAAATAATGACATTCATTTATATTAGAGAAATATTGTAATAGATTTATTAATATTTTGTAAAATTTGCACAATAAGGTGAAAGCTATTTTAGCATCTGTAATTTCCTGAAAGGTTCGTTGGTTGCCGGATATCTAGACGTATATCCAAAAGCTTCCATCTTTTATTTTCCATTTCGTTTGTGAGCATTTCGAAGATGCGGCATGCGTCAATCCCACGAAAGAGCTCGGGACCAGTAAAGCAAAATATATACTTAAATTTTTTGATTTAGATTTTTAATGTTTGATTTACTTTGTGTAAATAAATCACTTTTTTGTTTATTTGTTTTGAATAACAATGTATTTCCTTCCGGGGTTTAATATCTCCTTACAATATTATTTATTATAGTTTTATATATTGCAGCGGGGCCGGTTCATTTATTTGTTTATAGTAAGTTATATAAATTGAATTGGGCTTTAAAATTACTATAAAAGAACATAAAAACCATGCAATTTTCTACAAGATTAGGTATTGAATTTTGCAATTCAGATGTGATTTTAATGAGGAGGTGTGCAAAGGGTGTTTTCACTCGAAATTCATATTTTTGGAATCAAAATTTCCTTACCATTTGTAACGTTAAAAAAATAGCCTAAGATATAGACATAAGTGTATATTTTTGTCTGTGTGTCGAATTTTGAGTCGATTTAACCATGTATGTCCGTCCGTTCCCCCAACTATAACTCAAAAACAAATCGTTAAGTTAACAAAATTTTCACATATAATTTATAATAGCAAATAACACCGGACCGCTATTTAAATTAGATGTGATCGGGGCAGTGTTTCGGGCAGCTGTCCTATAACTTCAAAAGTTAATTGGTTTTATTTCAGAAATTATTGAAACTATAATATTGAAATTTCGAATAAGGAAATATAATATACAATTTTTGACACATTAGCGGATTTTTTAATCTTAGCCTATCTTACACTAAATAGAAAAGCTATATATACCGTATGTAATAAATTAGACGAGATGTTATTAAAATTTATTGTTATACAAAATCAAAAAATTGGTGTAATTTTATTTGCTACGTTTTGTTATTGTTATGAGAATGGCCCATCGTAAGACCTAAAAATTGTATAAAATTTATTTTGTCTAAACTAATTATAAATTTATTTTTTAAAAAAATTTTTATACTTATCTAAATTTTTTTTTAGATTATTTCTATTCAAAATTTCTGATGGTTACCATAACAAAATGGCTGTGATTTAATTGTAAATATGAGCGTCCTCCATGGGCATACCAATTAAATTTTTACGAAAACCGCATTTGAATTGA